GAAGCAGCAGATGTCTGACCTGCTCCCACTGCTCCCAGTCCTGGACCAGTTCCGCTCGGATTCGCGGCTGATCGCGGCGCTGAGGGCGGAGGTGGCCAACGTGTCCCTGGAGCTCGGGTGGCCCTGCAGGGAGGAGTTGGGGCCTTCGACTCACGAGGAGCTCCAGCAGCGGCTCCTGCTGCTCCAGGCCCGGCTCCACGCCTGCCTCCAGAGGCTGGGTACGGAATTTGGGGCTGGGAAAACTGGGAATGTGGGAATGGGGAGCTTGGGATGGGTTGGATCCCTTGGGATGGGTTGGAGACCTTGGGGAACTGGGAATGGGGCTGGGAAAATGGGAATGGGGAGCTTGGGATGGGTTGGAGATCTTGGGATGGGTTGGACCCCTTGGGATGGGTTGGATCTGCCTCCAGAAACTGGGAATGGATCCCTTGGGATGGGTTGGAACTGCCCCCAGAAACTGGGAATGGGGACCTTGGGATGGGTTGGATCTGCCTCCAGAGGCTGGGTACGGAATTTGGGGGCTGGGAAAACTGGGAATGTGGGAATGGAGAGCTTGGGATGGGTTGGAGACCTTGGGGAACTGGGAATGGATCCCTTGGGGAACTGGGAATGGATCCCTTGGGATGGGTCAGATCCCGGCTCCACGCCTGCCTCCAGAGGCTGGGTGGGGAATTTGGGGGGCTGGGAAAACTGGGAATGGGGCTGGGAAACTGGGAATGGGGCTGGGAAAATGGGAATGGGGAGCTTGGGATGGGTTGGATCCCTTGGGATGGGTTGGATCTGCCTCCAGAAGCTGGGTATGGAATTGGAGCTGGAAAACTGGGAATATGGGAATGGAGAGCTTGGGAAACTGGGAATGGAACCCCAAATCCCCCCTGCCTTTAATCCCACTTTTCCAAGCCCATATTCCCATTGTTTTTCCAGGCTGTGGGAAGCTGACCAGGGTCAGCAACCCCCTCAAATCCCCCCCCCATCAATCCCACTTTTCCAATCCCTTCTCCCAGTGTTTTTTCCCCTTTAATCCCACTTTTCCAAGCCCCTTTTCCCAATGTTTTTCCCCCTTTAATCCCACTTTTCCAAGCCCCTTTTCCCGGTGTTTTTTCCCCCAGTTTTCCCCCCCATCAATCCCACTTTTCCAATCCCTTCTCCCAATGTTTTTTCCCCTTTAATCCCACTTTTCCAAGCCCTTTTCCCACTGTTTTTCCAGGCTGTGGGAAGCTGACCGGGGTCAGCAACCCCCTCAAATCCCCCCCCTTTTATCCCATTTTTCCAAGCCCTTTCTCCCAGTGTTTTTTCCCCTTTAATCCCACTTTTCCAAGCCCCTTCTCCCGATGTTTTTTCCCCTTTAATCCCACTTTTCCAAGCCCCTTCTCCCAATGTTTTTTCCCCTTTAATCCCATTTTTCCAAGCCCCTTTTCCCGATGTTTTTTCCCCTTTAATTCTATTTTTCCAAACCCCTTCTCCCGGTGTTTTTTCCCCTTTAATCTCACTTTTCCAAGCCCCTTCTCCCGATGTTTTTTCCCCCCCTTTAGTCCCTTTTCCCCCCCATCAATCCCTGTTTTCCAATCCCTTCTCCCGATGTTTTTTCCCCTTTAATCCCACTTTTCCAAGCCCCTTTTCCCGGTGTTTTTTCCCCCAGTTTTCCCCCCCATCAATCCCTGTTTTCCGAGCCCCTTTTCCCAGTGTTTTTTCCCCTTTAATCCCACTTTTCCAAACCCCTTCTCCCAATTTTTCCCCCTCAATCCCACTTTTCCAAGCCCCTTTTCCCGATGGTTTTTCCCCCCCTTTAGTCCCTTTTCCCCCCCATCAATCCCACTTTTCCAAGCCCCTTTTCCTGGTGTTTTTTCCCCTTTAATCCCACTTTTCCAAGCCCCTTTTCCCATTGTTTTTCTCCCTTTAATCCCATTTTTCCAAGCCCCTTTTCCCATTGTTTTTTCCCCTTTAATCCCACTTTTCCAAGCCCCTTTTCCCAGTGTTTTTTCCCCCAGTTTTCCCCCCCATCAATCCCACTTTTCCAATCCCTTCTCCCAACATTTTTTCCCCTTTAATCCCACTTTTCCAAGCCCTTTTCCCGTTGTTTTCCAGGCTGTGGGAAGCTGACCGGGGTCAGCAACCCCCTCAAATCCCCCCCCATCAATCCCACTTTTCCAAGCCCCTTCTCCCGATGTTTTTTCCCCTTTAATCCCATTTTTCCAAACCCCTTCTCCCGATGTTTTTCTCCCTTAAATCCCACTTTTCCAAGCCATATTCCCGTTGTTTTCCAGGCTGTGGGAAGCTGACCGGGGTCAGCAACCCCATCACCGTCCGCGCCTCCGGCTCGCGCTTCGGCTCCTGGATGAGCGACACCGTCACCCCCAGCGCCGACAGCCGGGTGAGGGGGGGTCCTGGGGGGGGTTCTGGACCTTAAACTCGAGATTAAAAGGGTTAAATTCAGTTTGGGGGTAAATTGAGTTTAGGGGGTTAAACTGAGTTTAGGGGTTAAACTGAGTTTAGGGGTTTGAGCTCGACTTGGTGACCACCCCCAGCGCCGACAGCCGGGTGAGGGGGGGTCCTGGGGGGGGTTTTGGACCTTAAACTCGAGATTAAAGGGGGTTAAACTCAGTTTAGGGAGGGTTAAATTCAGTTTGGGGGGGGTAAAATGAGTTTGGGGGGGTTTGAGCTCGACTTGGTGACCACCCCCAGCGCCGACAGCCGGGTGAGGGGGGGTCCTGGGGGGGGTTCTGGACCTTAAAATCGAGATTAAAGGGGGTTAAACTCAGTTTAGGGAGGGTTAAATTCAGTTTAAGGGGGTTTAAACCCATTTTAGGGGGCTTAAACTCAGTTTAGGGGGGGTTAAACTGAGTTTGGAAGTGGTTAAACTGAGTTTTGGGGTTAAACTGAGTTTAGGGGTTAAACTGAGTTTGGGGTTAAGTTCAGTTAGGGGGTTAAATTCAGTTTAGGGGTTAAACTGAGTTTAGGGGTTTAAACTCGGTTTAGGGGGTTAACTCAGTTTAGGGGTTTGAGCTCGACTTGGTGACCACCCTCAGCGCTGACAGCCGGGTGAGAGGGACCCTTCCCAACACTTTTCCCCTTTCCCACCCCTTTCCCACCTTTTTCCCCTTTTCCCTTTTATTTCCCTTTTTTTCCCTTTCCCTCTTTTTCTCCCTTTTTCCTCCTTTTTCTCCCTTTCCTTTTTCCTCCTTTTTTCTCCTTTTCTCCCTTTTCCCCCTTTCTCCCTTTCCTCTTTTTCCCTCTTTTTCCCTCTTTTCTCCTCCCTTTTCTTCCCTTTTCTCTCCTTTTCCCTCCCCTTTTCCCTCCCTTTTTCTCCTTTTCCCTCCTTTTCTTCCCTTCTCCCTTTTTTCCCCCATTTCCTCCCTTTTCTCCCTCTCCCTTTCCCCTTTTTCTCCCCTTTTCTCCTCTTTCCCCCCTTTCCTCCTTTTTCCTCCTCCTTTTCCCTTTTCCCCTTTTTTTCTCCCCTCTTTCCCCCTTTTCTTCCTTTTTCCCCCTTTTCCCCCTTTTCCTCCCTTTCTTCTCCTTCTCCCCTTTTTCTCCCATTTCCTCCCTTTTTCTCCCTTTCCCCTTTTTCCCCTTTGCTCCTCCCCACCATCAACTTTCTAACCCATTTTCCCCTTTTCCCCCCTTTTTCCCCCATTTTTTCCCTTTTCCCCCTTCTCCCCTCACCTTCTAACCCATTTTTCCCCTTTTTCCCATTTTTCCCCATTTTTCCCATTTTTCCCATTCTTCCCTTTCTCCTCACCTTCTAACTCCATTTTCCCCCTTTTTCCCCCTTTTTCCCTTTTTTCTCCATTTTTCCCCATTTTTCCCTTTTTCCCTTTTTCCCATTTTTTCCCCATTTTTTCCCCTTCCTCCTTTTCCCCCTCCTCCATCTGACTTTCTAACCCATTTTTTCCCATTTTCCCCATTTTTCCCTTTTCCCTCTCCCTCCATCGACTTTCTAACCCATTTTTCCCTTTTTTCCCATTTTTCCCCTCCTTTTCCCTCCCTTTCCCTCCTTTTTCCCTCCTTTCTCCCCCCTTTCTCCTCTCCCTCCATCGACTTTCTAACCCATTTTTCCCCTTTTTCCCCATTTTCCCTTTCTTCCTCCTTTTTCCCCTCCCTCCATCGACTTTCTAACCCATTTTTCCCCCTTTTTCCCCCTTTCTTCCCTCCTTTTCCCCTCCCTCCACTGACCTTCTAACCCATTTTTTCCTTTTTTCCCCTTTCCTCCTCCTCCATTTTCTCCCTTTTCCCCCTTTTTCTTCCCCTTTTCTCCCCTTTTCCCCCTTTCTCCCCCTTTTCCCTCCCCTCCATCGACTTTCTAACCCATTTTTCCCCCTTTTTTCCCATTTTTTCCCCATTTTTTTCCCCTTTTTTCCCCATTTCTTTTCCCCATTTTTTCCCCTTTTCCCCCTTCCCTCCCTTCTCCCCTCACCTCCTAACCCATTTTCCCCCTTTTTCCCCCTTTTTTTCCCCCTTTTTTCCAATTTTTTCCCATTTTTTCCCCATTTTCCCCATTTTTTTCCCATTTTTTCCCCATTTTTCCCTCTTTTTCCCCATTTTTCCCTCTTTTCCCCCCTTCTCCCCTCATTTCTAACCCATTTTTCCCCTTTTTTTCCCCCTTTTTTCCCCCCTCTTCCCCCCCTTCTCCCCTCATTCCTAACCCTTTTTTCCCCATTTTTTCCCCTTTTTTTCCCCTTTTTTTTCCCCATTTCTTTTCCCCATTTTTCCCCCTTCCCTCCCTTTTCTCCCCTCCCCTCCATCGACTTTCTAACCCCTTTTTTTCCCATTTTTTCCCATATTTTCCCCCTTTCCCCCCCCCCAAAACAGGTGTGGTACATGGACGGCTACCTCCGCGGCCGCCGCGTGCTGGAGTTCCGCACCCTCGACGACTTCGTGGCGGGGCAGAACTTCATCCAGCACCTCCTGCCCCACCCCTGGGCGGGCACGGGGCACGTGGTGTTCAACGGCTCCCTCTTCTACAACAAATACCAGAGCAACGTGGCCGTCAAATACCACTTTGGCTCCCGCAGCGCCCTCGTCCAGCGCAGCCTCCCCGGCGCCGGCTACAACAACACCTTCCCCTACTCCTGGGGCGGCTTCTCCGACATCGACTTCATGGCCGACGAGAGCGGCCTCTGGGCCGTCTACACCACCCAGCAGAACGCGGGCAACATCGTGCTCAGCAGGCTGGACCCGCACAGCCTCGAGGTGCTGCGCTCCTGGGACACCGGGTGTGTGTAAATTAATCATTAATTAACGCGGTAGAGGGTGGGGATGGGCTCTGATTCCATCCCAGATGGGGTTCTGACCCCCCCAGAACGAGGGGGCAACATCGTGCTCAGCAGGCTGGACCCGCACAGCCTCGAGGTGCTGCGCACCTGGGACACCGGGTGCGTGTAAATTAGTGTTAATTGGGGTTAATTAATCAGTAATTGACGGGGGAGAGAGCGGCCTCTGGGCCGTCTACACCACCCAGCAGAACGCGGGCAACATCGTGCTCAGCAGGCTGGACCCGCACAGCCTCGAGGTGCTGCGCTCCTGGGACACCGGGTGTGTGTAAATTAGTGCTAATTGGGTGTTAATTAGGGTTAATTTACTGGGGAGAGCGGCCTCTGGGCCGTCTACACCACCCAGCAGAACGCGGGCAACATCGTGCTCAGCAGGCTGGACCCGCACAGCCTCGAGGTGCTGCGCAGCTGGGACACCGGGTGCGTAATGGGTGCTAACTGGGGTTACATTTACTGGGAGAGCGGCCTCTGGGCCGTCTACACCACCCAGCAGAACGCGGGCAACATCGTGCTCAGCAGGCTGGACCCGCACAGCCTCGAGGTGCTGCGCACCTGGGACACCGTGCGTGCAACTGGGCGCACTGGGTGTAAATTAATCAGTACTGAGGTGTCAGAGGGTGGGGATGGGCTGTGACACCACCCAGCAGAACGCGGGCAACATCGTGCTCAGCAGGCTGGACCCGCACAGCCTCGAGGTGCTGCGCACCTGGGACACCGGGTGCGCAACTGGGCTGCATTGGGTGTAAATTAATCAGTAATTGACGGGGGGCAGAGCGGCCTCTGGGCCGTCTACACCACCCAGCAGAACGCGGGCAACATCGTGCTCAGCAGGCTGGACCCGCACAGCCTCGAGGTGCTGCGCTCCTGGGACACCGGGTGCGTGTAAATTAGTGTTAATTGGGTGTTAATTGGGGTTAATTGGTGATCAATTTACACCTTGGAGGGCAGGGGATGGGCTGTGACCCCACCCAGCAGAACGCGGGCAACATCGTGCTCAGCAGGCTGGACCCTAGACAGCCTCGAGGTGCTGCGCACCTGGGACACCGGGTGCGCTAATTGGGCGCACTGGGTGTAAACTAATCAGTACTGAGGTGTCAGAGGGTGGGATGGCTGTGACCCCACCCAGCAGAACGCGGGCAACATCGTGCTCAGCAGGCTGGACCCGCACAGCCTCGAGGTGCTGCGCAGCTGGGACACCGGTGCGCACTGGGTGTTAATTGGGGCACTGGTGATCAATTTACACCTTGGAGGGCAGGGGATGGGCTGTGACCCCACCCAGCAGAACGCGGGCAACATCGTGCTCAGCAGGCTGGACCCGCACAGCCTCGAGGTGCTGCGCACCTGGGACACCGGGTGCGTTAATTGGGTGTTAATTGGGGTTAATTGGTGATCAATTTACACCTTGGAGGGCAGGGGATGGGCTGTGACCCCACCCAGCAGAACGCGGGCAACATCGTGCTCAGCAGGCTGGACCCGCACAGCCTCGAGGTGCTGCGCACCTGGGACACCGGGTGCGTTAATTGGGTGTTAATTTACAGGGTTAATTGGGGTAAATTGGGGGTTAATGGATGGGGGATGGGCTGTGACCCCACCCAGCAGAACGCGGGCAACATCGTGCTCAGCAGGCTGGACCCGCACAGCCTCGAGGTGCTGCGCACCTGGGACACCGGGTGCGCACTGGGGCTAATTGGGGTACCAATCAGTAATTGACGGGGTGGGATCGGGTTCTGAGCCCCCCAGAACGAGGGGGCAACATCGTGCTCAGCAGGCTGGACCCGCACAGCCTCGAGGTGCTGCGCACCTGGGACACCGGGTGCGTTAATTGGGTGTTAATTAATCAGTAATTAACGTGGTACAGGGTGGGGATGGGCTGTGACCCCACCCAGCAGAACGCGGGCAACATCGTGCTCAGCAGGCTGGACCCGCACAGCCTCGAGGTGCTGCGCACCTGGGACACCGGGTGCGTGTAAATTAATCATTATTTGTAATTAATTTACGGGGTGGATCATTTTTTCCCCCCTTTTTTACCTCCAATTTCCCCCTCTCCCAGGTACCCCAAGCGCAGCGCCGGCGAGTCCTTCCTCATCTGCGGGACCCTCTACGTCACCAACTCCCACCTGGCGGGGGCCAAGGTCTACTTCGCCTACGACACCGGCAGCTCCAGCTCCGAGCACACCGACATCCCCTTCCACAACCAGTACTCCCACATCTCCATGCTGGACTACAACCCCCGCCAGAGGGTCCTCTACACCTGGAACAACGGCCACCAGGTCGTCTACAACGTCACGCTCTTCCACGTCGTCAACACCAGCGGGGACATCTGAGCATTGGGGGTGGATTTGGGGGTTCCACGCTGGGTTTGGCTCCAGGAGCTGCTGATTCCACCCCAGATCCAGCTCTGATTCCAGGCTGGGTTTGGCTCCAGGAGCTGCTGATTCCATCCCTGATCCAGCTCTGATCCCATCCTGGATCCAGCTCTGATTCCACCCTGGATGCATCTCCAGGAGATTCTGATTCCCCCCCGGATCCAGCTCTGATTCCATCCTGGAATTCCACCCTGATTCCACTCTGGATGCTTCTGCAGGAGCTTCTGATTCCACCCCAGATCCAGCTCTGATTCCACTCTGGATCCACCTCCAGGAGCTTCTGATTCCATCCCAGATCCAGCTCTGATTCCACTCTGGATCCTCCACTCTGGATCCACCTCCAGGAGCTTCTGATTCCACCCCAGATCCAGCTCTGATTCCACCCCAGATCCAGCTCTGATTCCACTCTGGATCCATCAGTGGCTCCTCCAGCTCCGAGCACACCGACATCCCCTTCCACAACCAGTACTCCCACATCTCCATGCTGGACTACAACCCCCGCCAGAGGGTCCTCTACACCTGGAACAACGGCCACCAGGTCGTCTACAACGTCACGCTCTTCCACGTCGTCAACACCAGCGGGGACATCTGAGACTTGGGGGGTGGAGAAGGGTGGGTTTGGCTCCAGGGAGCTGCTGATTCCATCCCTGATCCAGCTCTGATTCCCTCCTGGATCCAGCTCTGATTCCACTCTGGATGCATCTGCAGGAGCTTCTGATTCCACCCCAGATCCAGCTCTGATTCCAGGCTGGGTTTGGCTCCAGGAAGTTCTGATTTCACCCCAGATCCAGCTCTGATTCCACCCCAGATCCAGCTCTGATTCCAGGCTGGGTTTGGCTCCAGGAAGTTCTGATTCCCTCCTGGATCCAGCTCTGATTCCACCCCAGATCCAGCTCTGATTCCAGGCTGGGTTTGGCTCCAGGAGCTTCTGATTCCACCCCAGATCCAGATCTGATTCCAGGCTGGGTTTGGCTCCAGGAAGTTCTGACTCCCTCCTGGATCCAGCTCTGATTCCCCCCTGGATCCTCCACTCTGGATGCATCTCCAGGAGCTTCTGATTCCACCCTGATCCAGCTCTGATTCCCCCCCAGATCCAGCTCTGATCCCCCCCTGGATCCATCAGTGGCTCCTCCAGCTCCGAGCACACCGACATCCCCTTCCACAACCAGTACTCCCACATCTCCATGCTGGACTACAACCCCCGCCAGAGGGTCCTCTACACCTGGAACAACGGCCACCAGGTCGTCTACAACGTCACGCTCTTCCACGTCGTCAACACCAGCGGGGACATCTGAGACTTGGGGGGTGGATTTGGGGGTTCCACGCTGGGTTTGGCTCCAGGAGCTGCTGATTCCATCCCTGGATCCAGCTCTGATACCATCCTGGACCCTCCACTCTGGATGCATCTGCAGGAGCTTCTGATTCCACCCCAGATCCAGCTCTGATTCCACCCCAGATCAAGCTCTGATTCCACCCTGGATCCAGCTCTGATTCCACTCTGGATCCTCCACTCTCGATCCACCTCCAGGAGCTTCTGATTCCAGCCCGGATCCAGCTCTGATTCCACTCTGGATCCACCTTCAGGAGCTTCTGATTCCACCCCAGATCCAGCTCTGATTCCACTCTGGATCCACCTTCAGGAGCTTCTGATTCCACCCCAGATCCAGCTCTGATTCCAGGCTGGATTTGGCTCCAGGAGCTTCTGATTCCACCCCAGATCCAGCTCTGATTCCACCCCAGATCCAGCTCTGATTCCAGGCTGGATTTGGCTCCAGGAGCTTCTGATTCCACCCCAGATCCAGCTCTGATCCCACCCCAGATCCAGCTCTGATTCCCCCCTGGATCCAGCTCTGATTCCAGGCTGGATTTGGCTCCAGGAGCTTCTGATTCCACCCTGGATCCTCCACTCTGGATCCATCTCCAGGAGCTTCTGATTCCATCCCTGATCCAGCTCTGATCCCACCCCAGATCCAGCTCTGATTCCAGGCTGGGTTTGGCTCCAGGAAGTTCTGATTCCACCCCAGATCCAGCTCTGACTCCAGGCTGGGTTTGGCTCCAGGAAGTTCTGATTCCACCCCAGATCCAGCTCTGATTCTACCCCAGATCCAGCTCTGATTCCAGGCTGGGTTTGGCTCCAGGAACTTCTGATCCCACCCCAGATCCAGCTCTGATTCCACCCCAGATCCAGCTCTGATTCCAGGCTGGGTTTGGCTCCAGGAAGTTCTGATCCCACCCCAGATCCAGCTCTGATTCCAGGCTGGGTTTGGCTCCAGGAAGTTCTGATTCCACCCCAGATCCAGCTCTGATTCCATCCTGAATCTGGCTCTGATTCCACCCCAGATCCAGCTCTGATTCCAGGCTGGGTTTGGCTCCAGGAAGTTCTGATCCCACCCCAGATCCAGCTCTGATCCCCCCCTGGATCCATCAGTGGCTCCTCCAGCTCCGAGCACACCGACATCCCCTTCCACAACCAGTACTCCCACATCTCCATGCTGGACTACAACCCCCGCCAGAGGGTCCTCTACACCTGGAACAACGGCCACCAGGTCGTCTACAACGTCACGCTCTTCCACGTCGTCAACACCAGCGGGGACATCTGAGGGCTGGGGGTTGGACGAGGGTGGGTTTGGCTCCAGGGAGCTGCTGATTCCATCCCTGATCCAGCTCTGATTCCACCCTGGAATTCCACCCTGATTCCACTCTGGATCCAGCTCTGATTCCACTCTGGATCCTCCACTCTGGATGCATCTGCAGGAGCTTCTGATTCCACCCCAGATCCAGCTCTGATTCCACCCTGGATCCAGCTCTGATTCCACCCCGGATCCAGTTCTGATTCCAGGCTGGGTTTGGCTCCAGGAGCTTCTGATTCCACCCTGGACCCTCCACTCTGGATCCACCTCCAGGAGCTTCTGATTCCCCCCTGGATCCAGCTCTGATTCCACTCTGGACCCATCTCCAGAGAGCTCTGATTCCATCCTGAATCTGGCTCTGATCCCAGCCCAGATCAAGTTCTGATCCCAGCCCAGATCAAGTTCTGATTCCACCCCAGATCCAGCTCTGATTCCACCCCAGATCCAGCTCTGATTCCACCCCAGATCCAGCTCTGATTCCAGGCTGGGTTTGGCTCCAGGAGCTTCTGATTGCACCCCAGATCCAGCTCTGATCCCACCCCAGATCCAGCTCTGATTCCAGGCTGGGTTTGGCTCCAGGAAGTTCTGATCCCACCCCAGATCCAGCTCTGATCCCCCCCTGGATCCATCAGTGGCTCCTCCAGCTCCGAGCACACCGACATCCCCTTCCACAACCAGTACTCCCACATCTCCATGCTGGACTACAACCCCCGCCAGAGGGTCCTCTACACCTGGAACAACGGCCACCAGGTCGTCTACAACGTCACGCTCTTCCACGTCGTCAACACCAGCGGGGACATCTGAGACTTGGGGGGTGGAGAAGGGTGGGTTTGGCTCCAGGGAGCTGCTGATTCCATCCCTGATCCAGCTCTGATTCCCTCCTGGATCCAGCTCTGATTCCACTCTGGATGCATCTGCAGGAGCTTCTGATTCCACCCCAGATCCAGCTCTGATTCCAGGCTGGGTTTGGCTCCAGGAAGTTCTGATTTCACCCCAGATCCAGCTCTGATTCCACCCCAGATCCAGCTCTGATTCCAGGCTGGGTTTGGCTCCAGGAAGTTCTGATTCCCTCCTGGATCCAGCTCTGATTCCACCCCAGATCCAGCTCTGATTCCAGGCTGGGTTTGGCTCCAGGAGCTTCTGATTCCACCCCAGATCCAGATCTGATTCCAGGCTGGGTTTGGCTCCAGGAAGTTCTGACTCCCTCCTGGATCCAGCTCTGATTCCCCCCTGGATCCTCCACTCTGGATGCATCTCCAGGAGCTTCTGATTCCACCCTGATCCAGCTCTGATTCCCCCCCAGATCCAGCTCTGATCCCCCCCTGGATCCATCAGTGGCTCCTCCAGCTCCGAGCACACCGACATCCCCTTCCACAACCAGTACTCCCACATCTCCATGCTGGACTACAACCCCCGCCAGAGGGTCCTCTACACCTGGAACAACGGCCACCAGGTCGTCTACAACGTCACGCTCTTCCACGTCGTCAACACCAGCGGGGACATCTGAGACTTGGGGGGTTGGACAAGGGTGGGTTTGGCTCCAGGAGCTTCTGATTCCATCCCAGATCCAGCTCTGATTCCACCCCAGATCCAGCTCTGATTCCAGGCTGGGTTTGGCTCCAGGAAGTTCTGATCCCACCCCAGATCCAGCTCTGATCCCCCCCTGGATCCATCAGTGGCTCCTCCAGCTCCGAGCACACCGACATCCCCTTCCACAACCAGTACTCCCACATCTCCATGCTGGACTACAACCCCCGCCAGAGGGTCCTCTACACCTGGAACAACGGCCACCAGGTCGTCTACAACGTCACGCTCTTCCACGTCGTCAACACCAGCGGGGACATCTGAGCACTGGGGGTGGATTTGGGGGTTCCACGCTGGGTTTGGCTCCAGGAGCTGCTGATTTCATCCCTGGATCCAGCTCTGATTCCACTCTGGATCCTCCACTCTGGATCCACCTCCAGGAGCTTCTGATTCCCCCCTGGATCCAGCTCTGATTCCAGGCTGGGTTTGGCTCCAGGGAGCTGCTGATTCCATCCCTGGATCCAGCTCTGATTCCACCCCTGGATGCATCTCCAGGAGCTTCTGATTCCACCCCAGATCCAGCTCTGATTCCACTCTGGATCCTCCACTCTGGATCCATCTCCAGGAGCTTCTGATTCTACCCCAGATCCAGCTCTGATTCCACTCTGGACCCATCTGCAGAGAGCTTCTGATTCCCCCCTGGATCCACCTCCAGGAGCTTCTGATTCCACCCCAGATCCAGCTCTGATTCCACCCTGGATGCATCTCCAGGAGCTGCTGATTCCATCCCTGATCCAGCTCTGGTTCCAGGCTGGGTTTGGCTCCAGGAGCTGCTGATTCCATCCCAGATCCAGCTCTGATTTCACTCTGGATCCTCCACTCTGGATCCATCTCCAGGAGCTTCTGATTCTACCCCAGATCCAGCTCTGATTCCACTCTGGACCCATCTGCAGAGAGCTTCTCATTCCCCCCTGGATCCACCTCCAGGAGCTTCTGATTCCACCCCAGATCCAGCTCTGATTCCCTCCTGGATCCAGCTCTGATTCCACCCCAGATCCAGCTCTGATTCCAGGCTGGGTTTGGCTCCAGGAGCTTCTGATTCCACCCCAGATCCAGCTCTGATTCCACCCCAGATCCAGCTCTGATTCCAGGCTGGGTTTGGCTCCAGGAGCTTCTGATTCCACCCCAGATCCAGCTCTGATTCCACCCCAGATCCAGCTCTGATTCCACTCTGGATCCTCCACCCTGGATGCATCTGCAGGAGCTTCTGATTCCCCCCTGGATCCAGCTTTGATTCCATCCCAGATCCAGCTCTGATCCCACCCCAGATCCAGCTCTGATTCCAGGCTGGGTTTGGTTCCAGGAAGTTCTGATCCCACCCCAGATCCAGCTCTGATTCCACTCTGGATGCATCTGCAGGAGCTTCTGATTCCACCCCAGATCCAGCTCTGATTCCACTCTGGATCCAGCTCTGATTCCAGGCTGGATTTGGCTCCAGGAAATTCTGATTCCCTCCTGGATCCAGCTCTGATTCCCTCCTGGATCCAGCTCTGATTCCCTCCTGGATCCAGCTCTGATTCCCTCCTGGATCCAGCTCTGATTCCCAGCTGGATTTGGCTCCAGGGAGCTGGAATTCCCTCCTAGATCCAGCTCTGATTCCCTCCTGGATCCAGCTCTGATTCCCTCCTGGAT